TGTTCTCTGTGACCTCTCATTGAAAAAATATGCCAATTTCCACGGTTTATTTTCCAGCCAGCAATAGGCATTATAATTTATATCCAGGGCCAAATGGGATGAATGAGTCCATGGTAGCAGATATTGGTCAAGCCCCTGGTGGAAGAATGCTCTCGGAGGAAATTAATGGCACATTCAATTTGGTGTATCTATAGCTAGAGTCCAGTTATCCAGACAGGACAGTTCCAGAGCAACGTGGGTAGGAGAGGGTGTCCTTTCCCAAGCTGATAAAGAAAGCATACTGGGAAAAGTCTAGGGAAATAAGCAAGCAATTAGTAAGGAGGGCCAAAATGTTGAGCCTATGGGTCGGGGTCCCAGCAGTCAAATAGGATCTAAGTACAGAGTTTGGAACACAGTGGGTCTCTCATTAGGGACATCTCTCCCGACTATTTCCTCCTTCCATATTCCCCACCCTGTGTGTGTATGGTTTGCCTGTGCTCCAAGTGGAGTTCCCACCCTCTCCTTCCTTGGCCATCATGATCATAACCAGAATACCTGGCAAGGACGTCAAAATTTGGAAAAAAATAAGTTTGGGGTGTTTTTTTATTGGTGTTTTTATTTGTTTGTTTAAGGTTTAAGGCATCTTGGTATATACAGTTATTATTTAATCACTAGAGAGAGCCATGCCCATTTCCTTACCTGCAAAATTAAATAAATGCAACATGCCATTTTAAAGAAATTACAATAAATTTGGGTTCACCCAGATTCTTTTAGGACATTAGCCAAGGCCTAATTTCCAATAGAAATGTCCACATCATGCTGGGTGTCCAGCCCCCTAGACTTTGAGATGTGTCCCCTGGCTCATTCAAATATTCATCTCCTCCTACTGAATGCAGAAAAACTCAGCTTTGGCTGGGTGAGGAGGGTGAAGATGGTCTGAGCCCAAAAATCTTACTGTGTGGCCAGAGCCAGAAGACAAGGTATAAAACAAAGCAAAACAAAATTAGAAAAAATATAGCACAAAACCTTCCCCAGGTTTTCTTTTTCTTTCTTTCTTTTTTTTCCTGAAGCCTGCCATTAGCTGTAAGGCAGTGTGGCTTGTGTGGGTGATTGGATTGAACGTTGATCTGTTCCAAATGCTTCTGAACAGAAATTCCTCCAGGTCCCTCTCTTATCTAGTGCGCCATAGATGTGTGAGCAATATTAAGGAGCAGGAATGGTTTCCAGAGAAGCCTAGAGCCCTCCTTCTTTGTGTCTAGGGACCAGAAGCAACACTCACACCAGGGTAAAACCCTGCCTGCACCTCCTCCCCATCAATCTGCCCAACTTGCGATCAGATTTGAAAATTGCGGTTGAGTGCAGAACTGCTTTTGCTTTGCAGCTCCTCTGCAGGCATCTGAAGCCCAATGAGAAAACCCCCTTTTTCTCTGGAATCCGAATCTTGAATATATCCTCACTGAACCAGAGAAGGGCTGCTCCCTGTTACAGCCTTGTTATCTGATAGCATCGTCTCTCCTAGTGGGGGGTGGCGCTGAATTATTTTACAGAGAAGTCCAATGTTATGAGAGTTTTTCTCCTATAATAAACAAGCATAGGGCTGAAGGATATGAGACCAAAAATCTGAAAATTATTGTTTAATTGAGTTTGTTTTTCTTTCTCTGAACAATACCTTAAAGACTGTGTTCTTAAGACTTATTTTATAGCTGAATCCCCTCTTTTATAACCAGCATCCTTTTTGACAGTGTGATTTGCCTTCAATGCGGGATCTAAGCAGGTTTGGCCATTTGCTTAGAGATAAAAGGAACTCAGCGTATGAACTCTAAGGGTTTTCTTTGCCTAGCGATATGCTGGGGAGTTGCATTATCCTGTGGTGGTTGCTCTGAGCATGGCTTGTTGACTTAATACACAATCATGTCTGAATATCATGACGATAAATCCTCTTTGGAGAAGCACTGACTTTTCATTAATGGTCTGTGAAGCAAAGAACTATCTGTGGGTCACACTGATGCAAATATTCAGCATCAAGTTAAAAATCCCAAGGGAGCATTAATTACCCAGATAAAGGCAGTTTCTATTTCAAGCTAGGTTGTAAAGCAATGAGATAAAGCCACACATCTTCAAAGGGAACTAGTTTTAATTGATCAGCCTGTAGTCCTTGAATCCAATAAGTCCTGTTCTCTGCCCCATGATCCTTTCCCTGTCTTATTTCAGAGGGAGGACTCTAATTCTACATCATCCCAAGAATGTAGGAGAGGAGATTTCACAGGATGGCACATTCCAATTAGTAGTGATCCTGATATGGACCTAATCACAATGGGAGGCCTTTTGTAAATCCTCTGACTGTTGTAGTGAAAAATGAGGGATGCATTTGGGGAAATAATATTCCCCATGCGCAGGGCCTAACTTTTAAAACTCTGCTGAGTCATTCACCTACTCAGGAAGAGAAGCTAAACCTTCCCATCTGTGCTCTTGAAATGTAAGGATCATAAAATATGAGTGGTTGCGAAGATTCTTGAAAGCCTTGCTTGTTCCAGATGGCCCTCTTCTCCAAAGGAATAAGCTTTTCAAGTGTCCCACGCAATTCTAAATCCTGTGGGGCCTTCTCTCATAGGTGCCTCAAGCACAACATGGGGGGAGGGGTGTTTCAAGGAAGGTGATTGGCTGGCTGGTTGTGCTGTGTTACTCCCAGCACTTAGTATAGAGCCTACCACAGAGACAGCAGCCAGTGTGGACAAAGTGACTGTTGCATTGTACTCAGGATCCTTGCCTGTCAGCCTAGTCCAGTGATGGCGAACCTATGACACGTGTGTCAGAGGTGACATGCGAACTCATTTTTTTGGTTGATTTTTCTTTGTTAAATGGCATTTAAATATATAAAATAAATATCAAAAATATAAATCTTTGTTTTACTATAGTTGCAAAGATCAAAAAATTTCTATATGTGACACGGCATCAGAGTTAAGTTAGGGTTTTTCAAAATGCTGACTCGCCAAGCTCAAAAGGTTCGCCATCAATGGCCCTAGTATCTTATAGTTGGTACCGGCAAGGCATGCGGTCCACCAGCTGAGAGTTTGACATGTTTGGGTTACAGCATGTGCACTATAAACTGGCTGTTGTACCTTATACTAGAACTTTACTTTAAATGCTCAAGCTAGCGTTGTTTATAGTTTTCTCTCTCTCCTAATGTACTTTCAGCTACTTGTACCTTGTTTTCTTCATGGGAAAGATGTGTAATAATTGGTTGTTGACAAACCCATATGAAAAATAAGGCTGTTTCAACATGATGTGTGGGGTTTTAAAGAACCATTTAGTGTGAAATATTAATTTTTTATAATTATGACTTAATTGAAAATAAACTTTCTCTTTTCATATGTTATATGTGTTGTTCAACAAATGATGGGATATAGAACTTGCTAAATTCCACATATAGTGATTTTGAGCCTTAACAACAAGAAAAAATATATATTAAACATAAAACTCTCAAAAAATCCATTGACTTTGTCTAATGACTCTGCTCTGTATTATGCTGCAAATTTGACTTGGCAAACTGCATTAAAATATGAGAACAGTTTTTATAACATTAAAACAAAATTGAAACTGAATATGGATTTATTTATATATAAACAAAGGGAACACAGAGGTAAATTTTGTAACCCTGCCCAACTGGCCTCATTAGGAAGGCATGGAATGGCCCTAGACCAGTGGTCGGCAAACTCATTAGTCAACAGAGCCAAATATCAACAGTACAACGATTGAAATTTCTTTTGAGAGCCAAATTTTTTAAACTTAAACTATATAGGTAGGTACATTGTTATTAACTTAATCAGGGTACTCCTAAGGCTTCGGAAGAGCCACACTCAAGGGGCCAAAGAGCCGCATGTGGCTCGCGAGCCGCAGTTTGCCGACCACTGGCCTACAGCAACACAGTGCTCTAGTATTTAGAACCTGCTCTGCTGACGTGATCAGGCTGGCATATTTGGTTCTGATTGATATTCCCCGTACATCTTTATTAGATTGAGATCACCAGGATAAGCCAGATTCCAGCGAGATATCTGGAACTCATGATCAGGTGGGCACCTGCTCAGGAAAACCTGAACCCCTCAGACCCCCTGAAATTGCAGCCAGTCACATGTGTGCACAGTGATAGTCCTGCTTTGGGAAGCCGATTTCTAGGAAACAGAAAAGCTAAAGACTCGGTTTTGCTTGAGATGTTTAGAAGTACATCTGATTTTTTAATGGCAGGTACTGAGGAAAGGATAAAAGTCATGGTGTTGGCATCTCTATATACCAGGTAGCTGACATACTTGCCTTTAAAACAGTGTGGTCCTGAGAACCTGGTCCTTCAAATCTTCATAATATAAAGTTGCCTGGTGATCTTAGGAAGATCAGAAAACTCTAGAGGGGCAGGGATGATTCCTTCTGTTTTCTGATCATGTTGGCCTTCGATTAAGTTTCCTAGAGAATCTCCATCTTAGCAGCAGGAGATACAGTTCATCTTTCTTAGGACAACTAAGTTATGATCTATCCCTCTCTTTTGTTCTAATCCCACAGCTTTATTTCACTGTACCTTATAATGAACTCTATCTCATCTGGGCAAAAAGAATTTCTGAGCCTCTATGGAAATAAAATGCACTCACTTGGAGGAGGAATATCAACGATGACCAATTAATTCCTTAGGCAATATTTAACTTAATTTGCACTGATCAGTCAGCCCCCACTTAGACAATGTGGGTTTTGACTGGCTCTTATATCTCACTAGATGCCTGGTGCACGGGGTCCCTCGGCCTGGCCTGTGCCCTCTCGCAATCTGGGACCCCTCGGGGGATGTCCGCAGGCCAGGTTGAGGGACCCCACCAGGGCGGGGAGGGACTGCGGGAGGGCTCCATGGTGTGCTGGCCCTTCTCACCCAGACCCCATCGGGAGGACCCCAGCAGCAAGCTAACCTACAAGTTGGAGCATCTTCCTCCTGGTGGTCAGTATACATCATAGTGACTGGTCCAACGGTCGAAGAAACGGTAGGACACTTAGCATATTAGGCTTTTATTATATAGAATTTCCATATGGGGGCATATGTAGCTCTCTAAAGTTATGAAAATTTATTAGTTTTGATTCATATTTTACGTTTACTTGCATATTTATTTGAACTCATAAAAACTTTATTGATATAATTTAGAAGGTGAAGAACTAAAATACATTCCAAATAATGACCAAAATAGTGTGGAAAGTAGCTTATAGATCTTCTAATCACAATCATTGTTATGCGTATGGCCATATCCCTCTCTGTAAAATCATATTCTTCCTCAAAACTACACCTTCAGGAGGTGGATTCTTGAACTATGTGTTCTGAAAGGTGCCAAACATGAAGACAAAGTATGAAGTGCAGCCAACTAGAAGGAAGAGATATAAATGTACAAACAGGATATTTCTGCTCATCTCAGGCATTCAGGAGGTTCATAATCTTCATACAAATATATAAAATTTTTAGTGAGCTATTTTCATTTTAATCTGTTCTCTTACTCTTCAATTCTTCACATCATGTCTGCAAAAGAGAAACCAAAGGAAGCATTAGTTTAGTTTTCATGAGATCTTTTTAGGGACAGGTTGTAAATCGGTATGATAGGGTACCAGTCAAAATCGAACTTGAACACTTCATCTCTCAATTCCATGAATACAAAGTGAACTATGAGTAGAAAGTATAATTATAAACTTTGGCTCTATTGATTTAAGTAATTTCAAACTACCTTAGGACAGCTTCCTTCTGAAGAATTAGAGTATGATGCTAACCTTATGTTTATGACTTGTAAGACCTTCCATTCCTGTGGTCATTTTGCAATCATGGCTCCAGTTCTCCTCCCCTCCCTATAACCAGCTCCATGGCAATGGCACCTTTTAGTATTCTGCTAATGTGGATGAGGAATAATTTCTCATATTTGGCCATGCGGCTTGCTTCAGCCAACAGAATGAGGCCGAAGTGATTGTGTGCCAGTTCTAAGCCTAAGCCTCAAGAGGTACCACATGTTTTTGTTTATTCTGTTGTGCTTCTGCCATTACCATGAGCAGGATATGCCCAAGCTAACCTGCTGATCCCAGGAGAAGGACAAGAAATATGTGGAGCAGAGCCACCCCAGCTAATGTGTCCCAACCAAGCCCTGTCTAGCCCAGAACCCTCAGCTGCCACAGACGCATAAGTGATCCCAGTCTAGACCAGCTGGGCCCAAACATATCAGCCAGAATAAGAATGATTTTGCTCTAAGCCATTGGATTTGGGGGTTGTTGGTTCTGCAGCAAAAGCTCATTGATATGGCGCTATTTCTCTTTTAAAATTTCTCGTAATCAGGCATCATGGGACATTATTTACAAATTTGTTTTTCATTTTTCCTTGGCGTCATTCGTTGTGTGTCTTCCCTTATGTGAATGGGTTGAACATTTTCTAATAAGTGGAATGCTCAGCCCTAGACTGTTTGACAGAGTGTTGGCCTGCGGGCCAAAGGGTCCCAGGTTCAATTCTGGTCAAGGGCATGTGCCTTGGTTGCAGGCTCCTCCCCAGCCCAGGTCCTGGTTGGGGCTCCTGCAGGAGGCAACCAATCTATGTGCTTTTCTCACGTTGATATTTCTCTCTGTCTTTCCCTCTCTCTTCTACTCTCCCTAAAAATCAATGGAAAAAATATTCTCGGGTGAGGATTAACAATAAAAAAGAAAAGAAAAAGAAATGGAATGCTCACATTTTTTCCTATTACGAATGGCTGAAGAAAGAAAAAACCACAGACAATGTTCCCCCCTACTGTGGCAGACACTGTGGTCTGGCTCTCTCCATATCTATCCACAGCCACATTCACCCTTGCTCTTTACTGCACTTGTCAAATACTACACCTGTCAGGCTCTCTTTCAGCTAGGATGGCATGGGACCCAGTTTTGGCCACTGAGCCCTGAGGAGAATTCTATAGTAGAGGTCTTTTCAAAAGCTTTGCTGTCCTATGTATTTCTCTAGAGATTACAAAGCCTGTTGTGTCATTTAGCAGAGTAAGTATCTCAACGTCTCATTGCCGGTAAATAGAAAAGCTAGGATTTGAACTTAGGTGCCCTAACTTGAGCTCCGTCCACTCCACTAACAGGGAAGGTTTGGATTTTTCTCGAACCAGTGGGAAAGGTAGAAGGTATTTTTTATTTCAGAAGTGAAAAGCATTATCACCAGCAGTTAGCACAGGCTCTTCTATTTCTCTAGCATTTTTTAAATATATGTTTTTATTTATCTCAGGTAGGAAGGAAGAGGGAAAGAGAGATAGAAATATCAATGATGAGAGAGAATCATTGATCAGCTGCCTCCTGCATTTCCCTTACTGGGGATCAAGCCCGCAACCCAGGCTTGTGCCCTGACTGGGAATCGAACCGTGACCTCCTGGTTCATAGGTCAATGCTCAACCACTGAGCCACGCCTGCCAGGCTCTAGCATTTTTTAGAAACTCAATTTTTAGTCCATGCTAGTGACCAAGAGGAAGCAAGATACCACCTCCTTCCCAGTCCAGGATTTCCAGGTGAAATGCATTTTGTTGACCAGCAAGTTTACAGCCTCATCCTGGCCCAACATGTGGGCCTGTCTCTGACCACCTTCCCTCATACACCCTACACTGAGTTTGCTGGTCACTTACTGTTTCTGTAACATAACAAGAGCCTTCAGACCTCTCCCTCTTTGCTTATAACTTTTTACTAAAATCTCCTCCATGACTCTTCCTGTAACATGCTGCATTGTAATTATTTGCTAATATGCATCATCTCTCTCCTCTCATAACTCTCCTGTCATAGCTGTCCTGCCACTAGGCTGTGACCTTCTAAAGGGTGTGAACATGTCGTACTCTTTTTTACATCACAGTGCCTATCATAGCACCTGACACATAGCAGGGGCCTGAGGACTGATGAGTTGGACCACTGGAGGAGTGAGAATAGGATAAGAACTGAAGTTGGAGTTACAGCCAAACCCACATTCTGCAATGTGAAGCAGCAGGAAGGAGCGAGGGGCAACAGATGCAGTAAATCAGGAGTGTTGACTTGATGTGCTAGTCCTCATGGTGTTACAGGTCTGCCATAGCCCCATGATGGCTTGTATGTGCTCAAGCCATTTTACTGCTATCGTCGCTGTCCTAGCTGACATATGGCCAGTGTCTGGCTAAGCAAGAGGCCATGACGAGCTGCCCTGAAGCCGAGACATTCCTTCGGCTTCTCTGAGCAGCACCGAAGGGGTGATGATGATTCATTGCAAATTGTCACTGAAGCATGTTCTATGAAGTGTGATTTCTCTCCCAGAAGCGGCCAGACTGTGAAGCACCATCTGCAACCCAGAAGTGGGAATCATTTCCATAACAGGCTTGATAATGGATTTTGACCACCACCTATCTATCTCAGGTAGTGAATTTATGGCTAATCCTGTGAAATTTAGGATGAGCCATTTGCAATAATTCTTCAGTGACTGTTTAAAAGCCTAAGATGCCCCTCACGACTGGTTCAGCTTATGGACCTCTCTGACTTTGAGATAGTTTTGAAAACATAGACAAACCTTTATTCACTTTGCCTGGATCACCAAGGTGGCTGTATTATTTAGAAAAGCAAAAGCATGGGATTCTTTATATCACACTGGCCCAAGGGAACAGTGTTCTTTCCCTTTGCTCAGTGTGTCTGTGACCTAAGGGAAGCCTGGGAACCTGGCTGAAGAGGGGGAAACTGGGCCAGTGCCGTCAGCCTGTACTCTGTGTGGGGGTGGAGGAACAGCTAGATGATGGTGATGTTGCTGGTTTTGAATATCTAGTCTGTGCCAGGCATGCCACCACTGACTTTACACCATTACTTCATTTAATCTACAAAGTGAACCCAATTCTTCCTTGTAGAAAGAGCAAAGCAAGAGGCAGCAGAGGGAATGGAGCAATCATTGCAGTTGGCTTTCTGCACACCACCCTACACACATTCCCCAACTCCCCTCTCCCTCCCAGGTCCCAGTAGAATCCAAGAGGGCCCAGCAACCTTGGACACTGGACACCAATGATGGATAAGGTCACACAAGGACCTTCTGAAAGTTCAAAGCCCCCAGAGAACTAGCATTTCTGTCCTTGGCCTTGGGGGACTCGGTGTGTACTCCAATTGGCTAGGTGTTACTGAAATACAAGAATCCAAGAATCCAGGGACCTGGGTCAGTGCTCAAATTTAGAACTTGGAATAATGGGAAGGGATCCAGAGCTAAAATTGCTCAGGCTGGAAAGCTCACTTGTTTGTCAGGTTGTTGGAATGCAAGTGTGTTGGGTGGTATCCCGGGCCACACTGCTATGCTGCCTAGGCACCAGCTGTCAGCTCTTCTTCTGTGTCCTGTTCTCCCATAGGAGACATTTGTGAGAGAAAAGAGGAATGTGAGGCACCCTGCTAAAAAGTCACTCTCCAGATACCCAGGCCACCTTTTGTACCCAAAACAAAAAAACACAGAAGCCTCACTTCTAGTTTAGGAAAGGCTCACCTTGGCTAGTGAAGAGGTGATATGCCCAATATCTCCCTGTATCACCCTATGTCCAGGCTGAGGAGCATGTGATGTTTATGCTTTGCTATGACCCATTTATAGCTCTGTTACTCATGGTTGCCATGGCCCCACATACATCACTTATAAAATAGACTCCATTCAACACTTGTCTGCATTTTGTCCTTTCAACACACACTCAGGGGCAGTACAATGATTATTTCCTCCTACGTGGTGCTAAATCATAGAATCATAAACACAGTGACACTCAAGTAGTCAAGAGAAAGGCCATGCCTATGTTCTGTCCAGTTTCATATGCAACAGCTAGCCATGCACCCAAAGCAAACTGGTTGATGCTTTGGAGCTTGTTAGAGGGAATTTGTGGAGCCTTCTAGTTTATCAAGCACATTCATACACATTGTCCCATGCGCTCATCATGACCATGTGAAGAGGAAAGCAGTGCAAGCTACAACTAAGGCTCCTTGGAACCTCACCCACCAAAGTCAGAAGACAGGGAGTGCACAGCCTGGAATTGCACCCAGGCAACTCCAAACTCAGAATTCTTTCTGGTATCCCAAACAGCCACTCAGAAAATAAAAGAAAGAAAACTCTTGGTAAAAAAAAAAAAAAAAACTTTAAAAACTTGTCTTAAACTATGAAACATCCACCAAAATTGGCTTTTGGCTTTTGTGCATGAAGCCTTGTATGGCTAACATAAAACTTAAAATGTTTCAACCAATACCTAACAAAAACAGGAATGGTGTGAGTCACACAGAGTGAGACTTTTTTGAGGGGGTATATTCTGCTCCTGAAATCAAGATTCAAGTAGTGTTATGTGCTGGAGGTGGAGCATATAAGTCACCTTAAGACAAAGGCAAGTTGTAGGTCCAGGTCAAATATCATTAAAGTAAGTTCAAAAAGGTTGTGTTTTTTTTTAATCCTATTGTATTGAGAGTTTGTTATATCAGATATCAAGTCAGAGCTGGGGGCTAAAAGCTGTGATAACATTGAATTTGGGGAGATCTTGATGGAGAAGGGTGCATAATCAA